CGACTTCACTGTAAGGGTGGCCAGAGCCTGGACTAGGCTCCCCAGAGAGGTGGTGCTCTCACCTTCCATGGAGATCATCAAGAGGAGAATGGACAGGCACCTGCCGGGGTCTTATGACCCCTACCACCCCCAGTGCTTCTTGCTGCCCATGGCAGGGGGTCAGACTCGATGATCTGTCTAGGTCCTTCCCGACTCTGATTCTGTGGTCAGCTCCCTTCTCCACATCCATCACGGTGGTACCCTGGGCCCAGTGCTGAAGGGAAAACAGGGAGTGAGACCCATCCCTGCAGGATCCTTGGGTGGAAGCCGGCAGAGGAAGGCAAAAGATCAGCCTTCGTTACCTTATTCCTCTTCGACTGCATGGGCATTGCAGGGGACCATTTGTTGGAGACTGGATCAAACTGCTCAACGCTGCAGAGCTCTGCGAGGTCGTCCTGGCCCCCCAGATCTTCCCTCGGAAGGTTGCACAGCTGAGATCTTCCCTGCACATCCCAAGAGGAGGGCAAGGGGACCACGTATCCTCGACGGGATCGTATCGTTCCACTGAAGGAGACACCGCAACAGAGAGGCACAGGACTAAGAGCCACCGAATCCGGAAACATGCTTACCTCTCTGACCACAGGCAAGCCCCATCTGTGCCTCAGTTTCCCCACACTTGCCTTCCTCCCAGGGACACAGCGCAGCCTTGACACTGGACTGCCAGGTGCTTTGAAGACTGAAAGTACCATGCAAGTGTTAAGCACTGTTATTATGGTGTTAGAAGCAACGGAGATACAGAACCCATTTCCAGGACTAGAGTGCTAGGAGGTTGCTTGCCTTTGAGTCAGGCAATCGGATTTAAATAAGGGAAAAATTTAAAGGGAAGGAAGCAAAGCCTGGAGGGGGTCCCAGGGTTGCAGACCCAGCATACAGCTCCATCCTACAGTGGTCGTCAAAGGGAGCAGCAAGCTGAATTAACAAGTCAGGGCTTTGCTTCCTCAGCTGGCCCCCTCACCCCTGCAGGGTGTCAGGCTCTCAGTATGTGGGAAGCAAAGCACTTGGGGGGGGCCAAGAGTAAAAGACGACAGAAGGACTAGCTGGCCCTAGCACACAAAAGCCCCAGGCACTTGTCTTAGAGGGTCAAAAGGGATGGATGACACATTCTCATCAGGAAAAGGTTTCTGAGAGGTCACTGTCACATGCACATAACTCTCCTGTTACCTGAATGGAGCAGAGACTGGCCATCTGAGCCACCCACAGCGTAGAGGTAGCCATCGAGCACTGCCACGCCTAAGCCCACCCGGCAGCGGGCCACAGGGGCCACCTTGCACCACTTGTCCTCACTCGGATCGTACCTGAAGCCAGGAGGAGTCCATCGTGAATTCAAAGACCTGCCCCAGAAGCAGCAGCCTTGGGTGCTCCTGAGAGCTCACGGGGGTCATCTCCAAACCAGGTTTCTGGTCCCTGGCCCGTCTCCCTCTAGAGAAGGCTCCCAAGAACCATTATGAAACTCACCTTTCCACTTGTCATCCTCATAAGGCCTGTCCCGTTTTCCCTCCTCTGTCCTTTGGCTGCTAGATCTGTGACCACTTACAAACAGGAGCATCAGGTGAATGTAGCACTGGCAAGAGCCCTGGTGACTGAAGGTCTCAGTTGACAGACCAGACCGAGGCCACACAGAGTCCATGCAAATCTTCTCACCCAGCTCCCTCTAAGGCAGCGCGCACAGCCAAGGAGGGAGAGGAAGGTCTTCATTCACTCATGATTTCTCTCAAGAGATTTGGTCAAGCTGGAACCTCTCATTTTGATGGGGCTGGGTAGAGCAGGCCACCATATGAATTAGCAAGTCATATCTGAGGTTTGCAGAGGCTGGGTTCCTCCCTCTCCCTAGCAAACCAAAATGATCTGGACAGGACAACCATAGAGGCGAGGCTGTGACTAATTCCAGTCACTCGCGACAACCTCATCAGCAGGAATTCTTGAAGGACACCAACCCTGGCAGCTATGTCCATCCATGTGCATGGGACTGCACGTACCTTTCCACCGTGCTAAGGCAGAGCAATCCATCAGGACTGCCTACACAGTAGAGGTAACTGCCCAGCTCTGCCAATCCCACATCTCGCTTGCTTTCCTGCAGCGGGGCCACAGCACAGCTCCATTCGTTTGCTTCGGGATCGTACCTGTGGGAAGGAGGAAAAAAAACCAATAAATAGCATCCTTTTTAAAAACTAGGTGAGATAGTGCTGACAGCTGATAAGATGGCAAACTCCTTGTATGCCAATCTAAGAAACAAAGGGTTAAGAGAGACATTAGTTGGAACTGATGTGAATGAGGAGCATCAGGTTGAGTTTCACTTTCGAGGGGAAGATCTGCTGCCCCAGTTGCCTGGAGCATTGTACAGGTGCCAGCACTGAACAGAAATCACAGAAGAAGGGCTGAAGTGCTGGCTGGAGCCTAAAGAGACCTGTGGCCTGCCATCCACTTCTTGTGACTGCCTCTCTCCACGCTCAAGTTTTCCACTTGTAAAATGGGAACACCACCCCAAGGCTCCTGGGAATGAGAAGACAGTGAAAACTTGGGCAGGATTGGATCCAACCAGAGCAGCTCCATAGCAAAAAATAGAAACAGATGGTCAGGCTTGGAATAGCCCAGACAGCAGGTATCGCACACATCTTGGAAACGCATACAACACAAACAGGGCTGCTTTTATTCTTAAATTATGGAGCCCCACCCCCTAGGATCCAAACCCTTTCCCAGCTGGCATGGTCTTCTTTAAAGGTTTCCCATCTGTTGGGAATGAGAAGAGATGAGAGACAGTTTTGAGAAAGCGTTCACAACTATGAAAAAGGTGTGTTGTCGTTGTGGGGAGGGAATGTTGAATCGAGCCTAGTTATACCCATTTGCTACTTGTTATATTAATTTGCACAATATACCAACCATCCTGCTCCTTGCTCATCCAGACTGGCCGTACCAGAGCTCCTGGAGTACAACCAAGGTTGCTTTCTTTGAGCACCATCTCCTAAGGATTCAGGGGGAGTTTCAGGAGTCTGACTTTACATCTTACTGGTCCCCGTTAATAAGAAGTGAAGGGACAGCTCCAGCCTTCTGCACTGTACGAGTGGGCTATCCACCTGCTAACACACGTTTACCTGGAGGAACTCAAGCAAGTGCTTCAGGTCTCATAAAGTAGCTAACACATTTCTGTCTCAGCAAAAGCAGCTTTCCCAAGAGGTTACAGCCAAACTCCACCTAGTGAAAGACGCTCTCTTCTCTCAGGCCTCTCTCCCACCTGCCCTAATCCTAAGAATCAGCTTTCACCTCTTTTATAAACTTTTAGTTGACTTCTTCAGGTTATTTCAGCCTCCAGACCAGCTTAATTTGCATCCCTTTCACAGATAAGAGTTCACAATTGTCCCTTCATTATCATAGGCCCAAGAGTTTCCATTATGGCTCGGAGCTCTATGCTTTTGCAGACTGAAAAGTAAGATTATGT